TTTGTCTTAGTGTTGAGCTTGAAGAAATGGCCACCCTCAACAATCTGCTGAATGCTTCTGCATTTAAAGCTGGTGGCTGGCACCAGATTTCTTCAACCACTGTGTGGGCAGACACCAGTGTTGCTCAGAAAGAGCCTGACTTTGGTCATTTTGTAATGTGGAATGGGGAAAAGTTTCTTAGAAGGTAGGGATAACAGATGACTCAGTGTCTCTTAAATCAGAGCAGCAGTGTATGTCTCATGATCCACTGTGTTAGAACCCCCTTCATGTCCCAGGAATGGTAGAAGACATAGTTTTCCCACTAAGTGTGTCATGCACCTCCACCTGTATGCCCTGTGATCCAACAGTTGTGCTGGTTCTGTCAGAAACAGAGGAACTGGGTCTAATCCACGTGAAGTTTCTTAAGAAGTTTTTGCCCACCTGGGGCCTGACAGGACAGTTCTCCAGGTCTTCCTATTTGCACATGCTTCCATTGCTGTCAGGTAGAGATTTTCTTCAGAGTCATTTTACACGCTCCGTGTTGTGCTGCCTTGCACAACAAATAACATTTACAGTGTACACATTCAGATTAAGCTTCTTGCCTTCTCTTTCCTTTCTCCACAGAGGCGAACTTCAAGTCATGGACATGCCAGAAAAAGAGCCAAGGTATGACCTCTTCTGACGTCCCGTGCTTCTTTTGGCCATTCTGAGCCGAGTCATGTTCCCAACCTTAGGATGGTACTCTCAAGTCTTTCCTGTCTCCAGAAGGAACACGCAGCTCATGATGGTTCAGGACAGTAACTTTCCATGCACTGGAGCATGACTGCTCCTTTTTAACACACACTTACCCATGAAGGAACTGTTTCCTGCTATAACTGCCACACTTGTCCCCTCCCCAGAGCCCAAAACGCCAGAAATTAAATTCAGAGGTGTCACTGGAGGGACAGGGCAGTGCACTGGCCTGTTACACCGTCCAGTTAAAAAACAGAGTTAAGTATAACTGTCTGGTTTCACATAAGGCCCCTTTTCTTCAGGGAATACCACATTTGCTCCCATAATGATGGCACATGCATGTTAGTGAATCCAAAACTTTTGCTAGTAATAAGCACCAGGACACCACTGTTCTAGAACATTGTAGGCAAAATCTCAGGGTAAAAATTGCAGCCATTGTGTGATTTATTTAGTTATTTATTTATTTACCTTTCTTAGCCTTAACCCCAGTTTTTCTTTGCAAAATTTGATAATAACTACTGAAGCAGTTAACAAAAATGGTCATGAATTTTCCAGGCTTGGCAGTTACAGAAACATAGCATAATTCAGGAGTCCATCTAATCCAGCTAGAATTCATTTAGTCCAGCCTCCTACTCAGAACAGGGTCAGCTATGACATCTGACTAGGTTGCTCAGGGCTTGATTTTAAAACTGTGATTGGGAGGGCGAAGGTCTCTTCCCCCCACTCTTCTTTTTTATCTTTCACAAAAGTTCAAACCCAAATGAAGACAGGTTCTGCCCTGAGGCATACAAGAGAGGGGAGACTGTTAAATTTGTAACAGGGTTCTGCCTGCGTTTGTTTTTAATGAACATAATGTATGAAAGAGATGTGCTGCTTATGACCTACAGAGTGTTCAGAAAAGATACTCTAATGGTTCTGTTTGGTCTTAAAGGCCAGGACTCTGTGCAGTACCCAAACAGGCTGTGATTCCAGTTCCTGCCCTGTCCATGCCTAGGGCAGAATGTGTATGTGCACCTCAGGCCTTTCTCCATATTGTTGATCCTGCCTGGGATCTCATGTGACTGGTCAATATTTTTTTTTCCTATTTGTCACCCAAGTGAGTCAACTTGCCAAGAGTCCTGAAAGTGCAGGTTTTATTTTGAGCTTTTTCTCTAAGCACTACTACATTACCCAAAATAATCAAAGTCATCAGGTCAGACAAGCAAGGTGTAAATGGGATAACAGCCTTTTAGTTAAGAACAGTAACAATCTTCACATCTTAAAAAACAATAAAATAGTTGGTTTCAGCTATATCCTTTGTTAATGGTTTTAATTCTTGCCAAGTGAGGAGGGGAAAGGCTGGAATTGCTCTGGCTGAAGAGGTCAAAGAGTGCATGAATTAAGGCAGTGAGCTTTCTCACTGAAAATTTGGTTGGTTCAAATCCTCATCAAAGTCTGAAGGAAGAAAATAATTGATTTGCTCTAGGACTCCAAGCCTTTGTATATTTCTGTTTGCTGCAAGAAGCTGGTTTGGTAGTCCTCCTTTTTAGCAGTTTAATTAATAATGACTGCATGAGTGGCTTGGTAGTGCAGCAGCATGAATTAGTGTGTGCGTTTTGGCTGAGGTGTCTTAACTATACTCTTTCTTTTCCTTCTCCAGTCTAATTCAAAGCTTAAACTGGTCAGGAGTTTGGCTGTATGTGAAGAATCATCTAGCCCCTTTGTAGATGGGCTGCTGGAGTCCCAGGTAGGCCTAGAATGAGACAAGCTGTTGTTGTGGTTTAACCTCAGTCGGCAACTGAGCACCACACAGCCGCTCGCTCACTCCTCCCCCC